GTTCTTGGTGAACAATAACTTGAATAGTCAGATTATTGAAACGATAAGTTTGTTGTGGCTTGATCTTTTATATTTCCTGAACAATTTTGTAATCTTGGTTGCCGTTTTGGCTGTTAAGTGTAAACGAGCATTATCAATTTTTGTGTATGTTCAATAGGGGATTAGTTGTTAGAAACAAGGTTCTAAAATGCTTAATGAGTAACAATGCGTTTTTGTCGAGCATCAATCACTACAAGAATATGCTTTCCAATGTGTAATTATGTGTTTATCAATTTTTAATATTATTTTAAATATTTTAAACTAATGAATAAATGAAATATTGTGATTTTTAAACATTGTACATATTGTTCATATTTTAAAAAAAAAAAAATTGCTCAAAATCATAAAATACTACAATTACTTGAACTTTATACATATTTTTCAATTTTTTAACAAATATATATTATTCAAAATCATAAATACTACAATTACTTGGTAATCAATTCCTACAATTAGATTAGACACGAATATCGGTTTAAAAAAAATCCTAAATATTGTCTAACTCTTTATCATATTCCAATTCAAACTTTTCTTCATCCAAGTCATCTTCTATGTCATTTGATATAAAATCATCTTCATTGGGCTCCTTTATTTCAACTCGAAAATTTCTATTATCTCTCGTAGATTGTATGATATCATTACTAACCTCATTCTCATCATCACGACTATAAAAAATCTAAGAGATTGTTTATTATTAACATCACTTGCTACTAAAACTAGAGAAATGCCGAAGAAGAAAGAGGCTCGAGCTCAGCGTATATAGTTTGCAACTTTACAAAAAAACTATTTTAATTCTTGATATTTTCTAGACGTCAAAACCCTTAATTTTTGGGCTTGGGTGATTTAGGTTAATTTGATATTTGTTAGGTTCAATTTGCTTTTGTAAGTTATAAAAATGGATTGGGCTTTTCTAGACTAATTTTAACACAATTTTTAACATAAGTGCGTGCACATTTTGGTGTTTAAACGTGTATATGTATATGCGGTCAATAAAATTGGTTGACCACATTATCACGCACATACCTCATATACGAGAAGTCTCGAAAATACGTCGTGCATATGCACATATTTTAGAACGCTGTTTCGAAGTGATCATTGAACCTCTGGAGTTTAGTCCGAAAAATTTTTGTTTTCTTGTTTTGATTTTTTGGAATTTTATGTTTCTGTACTTTGAGGTTCTTGAGATTAATTAGATCGGCATTTCAGATCTGCTTGAAGCCAAAAGTAAATTCTCCTGGTGATGATAAACATGTGACTGGACAGTGGCAGAGAGCGGTAACAGTAACAGCAGGACAAACAACATTATTCTTGAAACAGGAAAAACCATTTGGTAAGTGGATTTCCTCAAAATAATTGATTCAATTGAAACAGAAGTATTTGTTGGTTTTATCATTGCAGGTAAGATGACCAAGGAGACAACTGATCGAGTATTGGAAGAATTAAAATTCAACATTCATTGACCATTAGCCTTCACTTCCTTATGAGTTGGCTATTTTTCTCGAAGTCTTAATCATTTTTCTTCCACTATCTAACAAACATTCCAATTTAGTGCAGATAAATAAAGGAACAAGATATGAATTTTCTAATTAGTTGGCCAACATTTTCTCTCGTCAATAGACAATCTATCCATAGAACATACCTAATCCTTCTTAATACTTTTACAAAGTCGTTTTCCTAAATCAGTTTTTCCTCTCCCACGGGACAGCCCTTGACGGGTTCGAAAGAAGATGTTTAATTATTTTCTGGGCCAGAAAAACCCCTAGAACTCATCTCTTTTGACGTGTAAAAAGGGTCGAACCATTTAGACTCTTGGCATTGCCTAGAACTTTTGACACTAAACTTCTATTTAGACGTGTAAAATGGGTTGAACCGGCAAAATCTAGAATTTTTGACACTTGCCTTGTATTTTTATGTTTTAATTTTCTTAAAAAAAAAAATAGAAAAATGTCAAGAGAGCCGAGCGGTTCGACCAAATCACCTTGGACTTAAGTATCTGGTCCCACCCGCCCATACAACTCTCAACAATAAACTTGATTATGAGTGGCTAAAATAAGTGGACAAGAAACAAGACACAAATACTTTAATTTCAATAATTTTTTGTTCAGTGCTCTTTCATTCCAAATATTCAATTAATTTATTAGGAATGATTCATTGAGCAACATCAATCGTGCATATTAACGTAATGAATCAACAGTAACTTTAAGGATATAAAGCTGAGGAAATTAACTTCCATGAAATGAATATGAGAAATTGTAGTGAAGTTCATGCTATACTCTTGAAGGGTCAAACAAAAAGAATGTCTTTATTAATGAAAATAAGAAAATTAAAATGGTCCAGCTACTAAGGCGATTCTCTAATTAAATCCTCGTTTAATAGAGATTAAAATAAGATTTTAGTAAATTTAGATAAAAGTTGATGAAATGGGCGTTGAAAGTTGTGGATTCCATTGTTAATTTTAACTTAAAACGTGGGCCAAATATAAAAAGGAACATGATAAGAATTTCCCATGAAAAAGACTAACTAGTTGTTAATATTCTTTCTAGTCAACAGACAATTTAGCCATAGAATATCATCTTAATACTTTTAGAAGTCATTTTCCTGCATCACTTTCCCCTCTCCGACGGGACAGCCCTTGTCAGGTTCCAATGAAGACGTTTAATGATTTTCTGGGCGCACAAGAACCACTAAAACTCAATCTTTTTAGTCGTGTGAAACGGGTTGAAACTTTTGATACTAGACTTAATACTTTTCGAATAATTACATAGTGCTTGTCTGTTTCTGCTCCTTCAATGGATTTTAAGCAAAGACAGAGCCGTTAAAGTGAACTGTGTGTCCCACTTGTGAGAGGGTCAATAAAAAATGATGATTGCTTTCGATTTCCAACTAGCAAAACATCATTTTTGGGGCTTAATTTTCATAAAAAAGGGAAAAAAAATCTTGAGATATGTTTTATATTGCGGGTATTTGAGACTTGTCAACACAGTTATGAAAGAGTGTAGCTTCGATCCTGCAAAGGTTGCTGTGACAATGAAGTATGTCTTGAATAGTGATCTGCCTCCAATAACAATCAAGAGTGACGATAATGTGTTGTCGTACATGGTTTTGAAGGATATGAATCATGACCCTGCCAAATGTTCAATTCACATCGAGATCACAACTGCACATATCGAAAAACAGCCTATTGCGCTATCAGTTGATGTTCAATCGAACGAACATGAGTTTTTATTAACAGATATGTCATCAGATATATGTGGAGTAGGTTAACTATCTAACCAAAAAAAAAAAAAAAAAAAAATAAACAAAAAAAAAAAAAAAAAAAGATGCAATTTGTGGTTACTGTTCACAAACCTTTTTTTTTTTTTTTGGTCGGCTCAGTCATTTTGGATGGAGCGGTTGAGCCGCTTTTTCAATAAATTTTCCTTTTCATTTCTATTTCTGGATCATTCTGTGGCTTACCCTTTTCTGTTTCCTTCTAGCTATGGAAACTGTTCTTATTCACCAACAGCTCCCACTTGATCGTGTCTCCTCAACGATTCTATTAGCCGTAGGTGTCAGCTTTGTATCCTTGGTTGGTGTTAACATGCGCCGTGCTGCCTCTTTATCTCAATCGACATCCTTCGCATTCTTGGGCATTTATAATGATTCCACTGCTTTTGGCATTCTTTTAGGATATATATCAAAATAATTTCAAGAATTCATACTTCCAAAGTTGGGTTTCACTGTTGCTAAGCCACGTTGCCCTACCCCTATCCCTACCCATCGTGTTGGAAGGTTTTGTTGCTGTAAGCTAAATTAATCATAAAAAAGGTCATTGCTTTCACTAAAGTTCATTGAGTTTTATCTGGGTTCCATTGGGGATGGAAAATTGAAGAATAATTTGGAGAAAATTTGTTGGATTGGCTTGGCTAAGTTCATGTAAGTTTCTACCAGATTTTTTGGATTTTTGGAGCCTTATATATCCAAACTAATCGATGAAGTTAGAGAGTACACAAACCTTACGGATCCGAAAGGTAATTTTCTTTCTTTTAAGGAACAACATACATTAATAGCAAATACTTTAATAATAATAATAATAATAATAATAATAATAATAATAATAATAATAATAATAATAAATAAATAAATAAATAAATAAAAATCACGTCTTTCAGTAGCTATTTGAGATTTTCATATGTATTTTAATTCACTTTTGCATGCTAATATTCACAATCAACTCAATTTGCCATACTAGCTTTTGTTTATTGTAATAGAGTAGGTTAACAATGATGTTCCAAATTCCAGTGTCTTTCATTATTGTTTATTTTCATATATAATTAGATATAATTAAAACCAAACTAGAAATTGATTGTGCCTTATTTCTTGATTCAAGCTAGTTCTAATTAAAATTATTAAGTAAATAATCAGGTATCAAGGATTCGACAATGTTCTCTGAAGGATAAAGTAACCTTTTTATTCTCTTATGTGTGAGAAGAAGAGCAGTAACATCAGCTATTGTAAATAGCCAAATAAAAAACTGATGACTTCAAGATGAAAATTACAGACCGTGAATTTTAATAAAGAAAAAAACAGAAGTGTAATGAACAAGCTAAATACTTAAATCAGTCGAGGTAAAAGGAGATGGACAAGGGGGAAATTTAACTTCAAGAATTCCTTCAAGCATTTGGCAGGCCTTTCTCATGGTTGGCCTCAGAGATGAATCTTCTTGAATGCACCAAATGCCAACCATCACGAACCTTTCTAGTCCTTTCTTGTCATTCAAGGCTTCTGTATCATCTACAACCAAATTATCCAACCGTCCTTCCTGAAAGCAGTCCCAAACCCAATCTGCAAGAATTGGATTTTCTCCTTCTCCAAATTCCAAATCTACCACGCTTCTTCTGCATGTAATGATCTCTAGTAGTAAAATGCCGAAGCTATAAACATCGACCTTCACGGTGACTTTCGTGTTTCTAAACCATTCAGGTGCAACATAGCCTTTTGTACCTCTGATATTAGTAAGGGTACGACTCTGATTGACCATCAGAAGTTTTGCCAATCCGAAGTCTGAAATCCGAGCATTATAATATTCATCAAGAAGTATATTCTGAGGCTTGATGTCACAGTGGATGATTTGGGTGCTGCATTCTTCGTGTAGATACGCTAGTCCCTTGGCTATCCCCATTGCAATTTGAGTTCTTTGATTCCAGTTTGGTTTCAAATCACCAAAAAGAAAGCTTGCTACAGTTCCATTGTTCATGTACTCATAAACCAACAACCGATGAGGCCCCTCGTCACAAAATCCAAGCAGGCGGACCAAATTCTTATGATGAGTCTGACCTATCACATTCACTTCTGTTCTGAATTCTTTTTCAGTATCTTGAGCCACTCTATCCAGCTTCTTCACTGCAATGGTGGTTATGGAACCCATTGGCATTACTCCTTTGTAGACAATTCCAAAAGAACCTCTACCCAGTTCTTCCTTGAACCCATTTGTAGCTTGTGCAAGTTCTTTATAAGTAAAACACTGCAAATTCAGTCCTGCTGCATTGTGAACTCGTCGGAAATTTGTGATCTTATTGTTGTAAATAAGGATAAAACCAAAACAAGCTGCACCTACAAGCATGAAGTTTATGAACACGGAGCTGCCCAAGAGTACTGATCCCACGAGTATCAACGTTTCCCGGTCCTTTTTCGGTTTATCTGGAGATTCTCGGATCAGCCAATGAATAACCTTGAGGGCATCTGCAAATTGGTGTTCCATTCTGAAGTCTGCAGATACTGTTATACCCACAAGCCCCACTTCCACGATCTCCTTTAATGCTGACACATATATTTTCGGGCCAATATTCAGCAGCAGTCCACCCAGGATTGCCACTAAAACTCTTGGGATGATAATACTGTCTGAAAACTCCATCAAAATCAAGAGTTGCCCTGTGATAATGATCCGAAGTGGTTGGAATTGACCGCTCAGTAGTTAAGGCTTTTCGTTCGCCATTTGTCCTCAAAACTTGAATTGAGCCCCTTTCACTGAAGATCACTTGATAACCAGAATTCGATACGTTTGCAAGATCAGAAGTTTGGCTGTTGTAATACTCATCATCAAAACCCAAATTCCTCGACACACTTCGAGTATTAAGCACTAAATTCCCATTGTTAAGCATGTCTAGATAAAATCTTCCTCGAGAGAAATTCGTTTCAGATTTTCGTGAAACAAGCTTACCATTAATCTCAATTATCTGCGTAGGCAGCATCGTATCACTTGGATTTTTAAAACTTTCCCATATCCCGGTTGAATCCCTCCGCGATATAACAAAATTTCCAGTATCATTCATAAAACCACCAGAAACACTATCAACAATATTTTCTGTACGCCATAGCCGGCTCCCTTGAGGATCACGAAGCACCAGCCCATTTTGTGTATCAATCTCCACAGTCGATCCACGTGATACCGGACTTGTATCCTTCGGATACCATACTATGGTTTTTGCTGGTATTTTATTGTACCTGTTGATGACGATTTAATACATTAACTGGGCCGCTTTCAAACAGATTAGACAAGATGGTTAACATAGTTCACTGTGACCTATTTATTAAAATTGTTCATGTGATAGGCGGAAAAATGAACCCCATCTATATGTGAGGGTTGAGGGGGCGTGCTATATACATGATTTAAAAACAATAATCTTAAGCATTTAGACGAGATAGTTAACCATACCATATAGAAAGTAGAAATTGATCATTGTCTTGAAGTTTCTGAAATCCAAATGCAAAATCTCCAGAAGGTGAAAGCCATGGATTTGACCTCTCCGTTGCAGGAAGAGAGATGCCCACGTTTACAGTGCCATCGTTTTGAGAAGAAGTGCCGAGGGGGAGAAGAAATATTATGAAGAACATGAAGTTGAAGAGGGCCGACGCCATTGTTAAAGCAAATATGACACTTGAAAATATCATTATATATAGGAAAGATGATTGACAACTTAATAGGAGCCAGTCAACTCATGATGCTTTTCAAAGATTGAATATAACTCTGTCAACACAAACATTTAAGAATAATTCTCCCTGTCCCGGGTGGGGACAGAGAGAAAGACGTGCTACTGGAGGGGAGCCGGTCCCTCCAATAGGGGGCGCCATGTGGCGTCCCTGTCCCCCAATCCGGGACAGGGAGCAGGCCTCAACATTCAACATATACAAAAATTCTCAAACTTTGACTCACAATATTTTATGGTTTTCTTTGAATTTTAGAGGGTGTTTGGTGGGGGATTAAAATTAGATTTTTTTAGTAGATTGTGATAAAAATTTTTGAAATATGTGATTGAAAAGTTGTGGAACTCATGAAAGATGTGATTAACATTAATTGTTTGACTTTGATTTAGATTAAATCTGATTTTAATCTAAACCAAACGTGCTCTTAGTATTTCATGGGGTTTGTCCATTTCCCATTGTATTTACATATGTGAATCTCTTTCTTTTTTTCTAAATAACCCCTACCCACCTTCAAATATAAAATATTTAATTGAATAAAAAATAAAAAAAATAAATAGTGTCAATGAAGTTTTGTATAGTTGCGTCAACAGTCACTGAATTTATTGTTTTATGATAATTGTCAATCAAGTTTCTAAATGTTAGGATAATAGTCACTTAGTAAAAATAAATTCAAGCATACGTGGCATCATTAAGTGCCAATGTATTACAAAACGGCGTTATTTAATACGCCAATCAACAAAATTCGTTGGTATAAAATCAAAAGTTTAGCTCAACCTTGTTAAAGGCTCAATAGGCGATATATGATCATGGCTGATACATTGGGCCTGGTGCACTTTTATGGACTTAGATCCATTTATCTTTATTTTTGAAATAGTGTGAGCCAAATAATGGGTGGAATTTTATAAAAGAATCTTTTAAAAGAAGATGAAAAGTCGTGCATTTAATAATTATATTATGAGATTTTTAGAGTAATATTTGGGGTAATGATGTTAATCAGTTTTGAATTATATTTCATAAGTCTCGATCAATGAGTGAATTAACTATCAACACAATCAATTCATAGGCTCAACTCGAAAAAAAACTAGAGACATTGGAAGCAATTTAATTAGTTAATGTTACCCATGGCCACTATAACTTTTGGATGATCCTTTTAGCGTGCTGGTCATTTATCTTTGTGTTAGCCCATTTGTTGAATATTAACCCAATCATGGTAATCTAAACTAACCTATATATGCCCACATATCCTCATTGTAAGCATGAGTGTGCTTTGTGTTTTTTGGGAGAACAAACGTGGCTACTCCTGTCTTGGAGCTTTTGACCTCCATTGTTTTTTCTTTTACCTTTGTGGTTTTACAAACACCTCCATACCTGTGTTCCTTGTGGTACATTAGAAGTACAACCAAAGTAATAGAAATAGTTGTGGGTTGGAGACATTAATTGATTGTGGTTTGATATTGGTAAGTTGAAACTGAGATGAGATTTCACCGATTGAAGATCAATTCCATTACATATGGTATTAGAGCTTTTGGATAGATGAAAATCTTTGTTTTCTTGGTGAAAATTGGGCTGGAATTTGGCAAAAAATGCTGAAGAAAACAAAGGAAAAAGAAGTTCATTTTTTGAAAAATTATGTCTGGACGTGTTTCTACATTTTCTAGTGAAAACCACTTATTTTTTGGACAAATGAAGATCGCCAGCATGTTTAGCAGACTGAGGCGCACTTAGGTGAGTGGGGTGTGACCGATGAGATGGTGTTTGGCAACCGGCACATGGAACTCCTGTGATCGTGCATG